TAAGACGAGAGCTCCACCTCTAGGCCACCGGACCACTTGGAGAGTTAGCTGATACCTAATCAAATTTGCCAAAGGGAAGAAATCGCCACAGAGAAGTTTAAGTGGGGCGACCAGAGAATCAGGTCATAAATGGCGTGATGGTCTGAGAGAAGAGAGAGAGGGACTGACCTCCCCTTTGCTCCTGGGCAGGTACCAGCGTCCCCCAAGTCCAGGTGAGCCCCGAACGGACAGAGGTGCAGGAGGGCAGCACCGTCAGACTGTACTGCCGGGCTGCGGGCTCCCCAGCGGCCACCATCACCTGGGAGAAAGAGGGCGGCAGCTTGCCTCCACAGGTAAGGCCTGGCCTCCCAGGGAGGACAGCCCCTCCCAGACCTTTGGGTCCAGGTGAGGTTGCCCGAGGGAAGAGGTGGGCCAGGCACAGACCCAGCCTGTGGTATCTTCTTTGGTGCTTCTGATCTTCCTGGCGGCCTCTGTCCCCCCTCTCTCTCCTTCTCTCTCTTTGCCCTGCTTCCCTCCTGGGCCAGGCGCTTCCTGTCTTTGGGTTCTTCCACTTTCAAAGTGGCAGCTGGGAAGCCGTCCGGCAGCGAATACAGGAGCTCCAGCAGGTATCCCTCTGCATGAGCCCCTCGTGTTGCTCTGCTGGTCGGCTACGTCTTTCTCCTCTGGCTTTCGGTTCTCCAGCGGAGAGAAGCAAGGTCTCCCCCAAATGGCTTCGTTTCCCCCCACCCTCCCAGATTGTGCTGGCTGCACTCCGATCCTGCCTCCCCTTCGCCTGCTGCTTCTGGCTCTTTTCTTGCTTATGCCTGGGACTCGCGGATGCTGAGGGTGCCTCACCCCCCCAGCTCTGGGCCCTCCTTGGCACCCCCTTCCCCATGTGGCTCAGGAAGGTGGGAAGCCAGACCCGCGCTTGAGGGTCTCTAACGTTTTTCCCTTTGTGTCTGCAGTCCCACTCCGAGAGAACCGACATCTCCACCCTGGTGATACCCTCCATCACGGCTGCCGACGGAGGGGTGTACCTGTGCGTGGGCAGCAGCCCGATGGGAGTCGGCAGAGCCCGCATTGAGGTGGCGGTCGTTCAGGGTAAGGTGTGACCCCTTGTTCTGACCTAGGCTTCCCTAGCAGCACTAAGCCCTCGTCCCGATAAACCCCTTTTATTTAATTGACAGCGAGTTCCGCTCCAGCAAAGTCTTTCCTCTCCCACAGTCTTTCAAGATCGTCCACAATTACCAACCTTTATCAGGCTTGGAGAGTGGCCAGGCCGATATCTTTCAGACGCCACAATATTTGACAAGAATGCAGGAATGAACGAATTGTCTCCTGCAAACTCCGCTCCCCTTTCGCTCCTCTTTTATTCCCTGTGGGAGGGGCCATTCACCATCTACTTGTGGCCTTACTCCGAAGTCGACCCTTGTTCCTTAGCTTTTCCCTTCCTCTGGCAACTCTGTGCATGAGCACATCGGGAACAGGTTCCAGCTGTTCTTCTGCCTCACTGATGTCTGTCTCTGAAGGCAGCTGATAATTGTCAGACAGCTCTGGCCCCCGCTCTGCCTCCGACACAGAGCCCTCATCAGAGCCTTCCCCAGACTCCAGGACTGGTCCATGTTCCTCCCCAACCTCCTCACTGTCTGAGTCTGCTTCCAGCTCCACTGGCGGGCCACAACACCCAATTCCTGCAACCATTCTCCGTTTGTTTTAGTCTCCAGGCCTTTAGTCATCTTAGTTGCTTTTCTTTCCACTTTTCCAAAGTGCAAACACCCAGGAATTGGGGGCGGGGAGGAGGAGGCTTAAGGGAGAGCTGAGCCATGTTAGAAGGCCCTGCCCCCCTCTCTGCCTCCGACAGAGAGCCCTCATCAGAGCCTTCCCCAGACTCCAGGACTGGCTCATGTTCCTCCCCAACCTCCTCACTGTCCGGATCTGCTGCCAGCTCCACTGGCGGGGCACAAAACCCCTTCTAGGGGGGATGACTTGAATCATTTTCAGCTGCAGTGCCCAGTGGGAAGCCATCCATCCACCTGAAACATCAACCAAAGACGTGGCTGGTTTGAGCAAAACGCCAAGCCGCTCATGGTCAGCCCAAGGAGAGCTTATTCCCGTGATGGCAAACTTATGGTCCGTGTGCTCAAAGTGGCACGCGAAGCCATGTTGTCCATGTCATGCAGCCTTGCCTGTTTGTCTTCCTGGTTTCTGGCATGCATGCACACACGACAATCAGCTGTCCTTTGCGTGCGCGACAGTGCCGACAACTGTCCTGTGCATGCACCCTGGCCAGCTGATCGTCGGGCGCACATGCGCACCAGAACCTGAAAGTTCAGCATTTTCAGAGCGCGATCCCTTCGCCCATGTGGCAGTGCCACAAAGCGGTCTGCCCATGCATGCTGGCCAGCTGATCGTCGGGCGTACACGCACCCCAGAACCCGGAAGTTTGGCTTTTCCGGAACTCTACCCGGACGAGCGTGCATGCTTGACGTTTCCGTGTGTTCGCTATCACTGGCCCTATTCAAACCTGGACTGGAACTCTCCACCTCGCAGTGCAAATCATGTCCTTGCCTCCTTTCTCTTTGCCCTTTGTGTCCATTCAGTGCCCGGCGTCTCACCGATGGTCAAGATTGAACCTTCGTCCTCTTCGATCACCGAAGGCCAGTCCTTGGACCTGAACTGCGTGGTGGCCGGCCACCCTACAGCATCCGTCACATGGTACCGGCGGGGAGGGGCCCTGCCAGCCAACCACCAGGTTCGGACTCTCCTGGGTCCCGAGGGGAGTGGGCGGCCGCATCTCTCCCGCTTCTCTGTGGAAGCCTCCTGGTTTCATTCCAGGCAATGAAAGGGGGGAAGTTAGAAAAAAGACTCCCTGGCTTGCCAGAAACAATGAAGAGTTTCCTCTTGATTACGAATTTCCTTCGGAACGGTTGGTCTCATCCGGCCCTAAAGATCTCTCTATCTCTTTTTTTCCCCCAAAGAATGCATAAGATTAAATTTTCTTAGGACGGTTTTCAGAAAAGAGGGCTGTAATTGTAACAAGACTAAGAATCCTGCTCAATTATAAGCCAGGATAACAATAGCAATAGCCCTTAGACTTACATACCGCTTCTCACTGTTTCACAGCCCTCTCGAAGCACTTTGCAGTCAGCCTCTTGCCCCCAACAATGTGGGTCCTCATTTCACTGACCTAGGAAGGATGGAAGGCTGAGTCAACCTTGAGCCTGTCAGGATTGCTGGCAGTTGGCAGAATTAGCCTGCAATACTACATTCTAACCACTGGGAAGGAAGGAAGGAAGGAGGGAAGGAAGGAAGGAAGGAAAGAAGGAAGGAAGGAAGGAAGGAAGGAAGGAAGGAAGGAAGGAAGGAAGGAAGGAGTAACCCGTAGAGTTATATACCACTTCATAGTGCTTTTACAACCCTCTCTAAGCCGCTGACAGAGTCAGCCTCCTGTCCCCAACAATCTGGGTCCTCATTTGACCCACCTCGGAAGGACGGAAGGCTGAGTCAACCTTGAGCCAGTCAGGATCAAACTGCTGGCAGTTGGCAGAATTAGCCTGCAATACTACATTCTAACCACTGGGAAGGAAGGAAGGAAGGACTAACCCATAGAGTCATATACCGCTTCATAGTGCTTTTACAACCCTCTCTAAGCGGTTTACAGAGTCAGCTCTTGTCCCCAACAATCTGGGTCCTCATTTGACCCACCTCGGAAGCAAGGAAGGCTGAGTCAACCTGCAGCGTGTCAGGATCGAACTGTTGACAGTGGGCAGAGTTAGCCTGCAATACCGCATTCCAACACTGGGAAGGAAGGAAGGAAGAAAGATAGCACTAGCCCGCAGACTTATATACTGCTTCACAGTGCTTTTACAGCCCTCTCTAAGCGGTTTACAGAGTCAGCCACTTGCCCCCAACAATCTGGGTCCTCATTTGACCCACCTCGGAAGGACGAAAGGCTGAGTCAACCTGCAGCCTGTCAGGATCGAACTGCTGGCAGTGAGCAGAATTAGCCTGCAATAGCACTTTTAGATCGCTTCACAGTTGCTTTTACAGCTCTCCCTAAGCAGTTTCTAGAGTCAGCCTCTTGCCCACCCCAATAATCTGGGTCCTCATTTTACCCACCTCGGAAGGACAGAAGGTTGAGTCAACCTTGAGCCTGATGAGATTCGAACGGCCAAATTGCAGGCACCTGGCAGTCCGCAGAAGTAGCCTGCATTACTGCACTCTAACCAGTGCGCCACCACGGCTCATAGGATCCCAGGAAAGAAATAAAAGCAACAGGCGGGGCACAGATACAGATAGACCTCGACTTTACAACAGTTCATTTACTGTTCAACGGCACTGAAACAAGTGACTTAAGACTATTCTTTACGCTTATGACCATTGCGGCATCATAGCCCCATAGCCACATGATTTACATTCGGATGTTGGACAACTGGTTTATATTGATGATGGTTACAATGTCCCGGGGTGACGTGACCCCCCTTTTGTGACCTTCTGACAAGCGAGTTCAACAGGGACGCCAGATTCACTTAACAGCCGGGTGACTGAGTTCACAACGGCAGCGACTCACTTGAGAACGGGGTGGCAAGGAAAGTCGTAAAATGGGGCCAAAATTCACTTAAGCAACGTTTCAGACTACCTGAATTTAAAGAAAATTGGGGGAGGGACTTCCACGGTGTACGGGCATCGTGGCAGACAGCAGCACTGCTTCCTCCCTAGATCTATGGGTCCCTCCTGCGAATCTTGGAGGTCTCGGCCGCTGACTCTGGGGAATACGTCTGCCGAATCAGCAACGGAGCTGGCCCGAAGGAAGCCTCCATCAAGGTGACCATCCAGCAGAGCCACACCCCCTCTCAAGGTAAGGCTAAAGATTGGGAAAAAACCGGTACAAAATACGTATAGACTTTAAACCAGAGATCTTTTTATTGGGAATTATACCGGAAACATACAACAGAGAATTGAAATATTTGATTGTAAATGTGTTAACGGCGGCTAGAATTGTATTTGCTAGAAATTGGGAAAACGAGAAAATGCCATCGCAGGAGGAAAGTTATTCACAAAATAATGGAATGTGCTGAAATGAGTCAATTGACATTTGAAATTAGAGAACAAGAAGATAAACAATTTTATAAGACATGGGATTTATTTTATCATTGATTAGAGTAAAAAAAAAACATGGAAATGAAAGGCACTGGAGAATGTTATCAATACAAGAATAATAGAATGATACAGAATGTAACATAAAGATATATTATTATTGGGTAGATTTAAGATGATGTAATGAATTGTTACAATATAAATGAACCCGATATCTAGTATATCTCGTTTAAAATGAAGAAATAATAGTGATAGTCAAACAAATGAGGTATAATGATAATGATGAATACAAACATTCGATCTGATAATATGTGATTTCATATAAATTGTAAGTGATGACTATGGAAAAGATGCACAAAAACACACTGTATGTAATGGAAGATGGTTTTATG